AGGACACTCCTGCACACCCTCACACTCATACTCACTCCACCCACACAGGCCGACAGGGAGCCAGGGCAGGCTCTGGAGGGCAGGCCAGCTTGGCAGTGACAAGAGAGGCTGGGGAGGGGTTATAGGCACAGGGCCAGCAAGCAGCCACACTCCATCTCCACCTCTCCCACCAAGCACTGGGTACTTGGGCCATCACTGCCTGGACCGCTGTATCAACCAACCCAAAGCCAGGCCAGTGGACAGAGGCCTGCAAAGCCCCTCTAGCCCATCCAGGCTCCCTCAGCCCCTCGGCCCCCAAATGGCTCCTCTGCCTGTGACACATACTCTCTGGGTTCAGAGGGGCAAAGCGAACAAGCTGCACCAGGGGTCACGCCCTGTTAGAAGGAGGGAATCCAGTGCGGAGCACTCTTCTTTTCCCTTGAAATCTGGCCATAACGGGAGAAGTTAGCGTAGCATAGAATTCGTTCTAATCCTAGAAGTCCCTGGTATACCTCAGACCACACCTGTGGGCATGTACCTATGGGTGCAGCTGTGTGTGTGTGTGCATGTACCTATGGGTGATCTCTGTACACATGCATTCATTTGTGTGTGTGTGTGTGTGTGTGTGTGTGTGCATGTACCTATGGATGCAGCTCTGTGTGTGTCTGTGTGCATATACCTATGGGTGCAGCTCTGTGTATGTCTGTGAGCATGCATGTACCTATGGGTGCAGCTCTGTGAATGTGTGTGCATGTACCTAAGGGTGCAGCTCTGTGTGTATCTGTGTGCATGCATGTACCTATGGGTGCAGCTCTGTGTGTGTGTGCATGCATGTACCTATGGGTGCAACTCTGTGCATGTGCATGTGCATGTACCTGTTGGTGCAGCTCTGTGCATGTGTGTGCATGTGTGTGTGCATGTACCTATGGGTCCAGCTCTCTATGTGTGTGCATGCACATACCTATGGGTGCAGCTCTGTGTGTGTATATGCATGTGTGTGTGCATGTACCTATGGGTGCAGCTCTGTGTGTGTGTTTATGTATGTGCCTATGGGTGATGCTCTCTCTGTTCACGTGTATGTACATGCATGTGCCTGTGGGTGCAGCTCTCTGTGTGCTCATGTGTGTGCCCAGTTCTATGCATGATGTGCCCAGCTCTGTGTATGTGTGTTCATGTGTGTGCATGCTTATGTCCATAGGTGCATCTCTGTGCATGTGTGTCCTTGTGTGTGTGCAGTGCCTATGGGTATAGCTCTGTGCATGTGCCTATGTCTGCATGCATGCGTGTGGGGTATGTGTGTACATGTGTGCACACACAGTGGCAGAGCATGGAGGTCATGCACAAGGTCTTCTTTGAGTGGGTTTATTACGTTCCCAGCTTCAGTTGACAGATACATCCTGCCAGAGAAGTTGACAGATATATCCTACCTGGAAGTGCCTGGGACCCCAGAAGGTTCTGAGCTCTGGGTGTTGGATGCATTCTGAGATTCTGCTGAATGAGCCAGATCTTCCCTGGAGACCTCAAGACTCTGTCAGGCCCGCGAGCTGCTGAGGGAGCACCTGGGGACAGGGCTTGAAGCATGTGGCCTCACAGCCACTTATCACCATCACTGCTTCGCAGAGCTGCCACCTCCTCCCTGGGCTGGCTGCTGGGCCTCAGCTGGCTGATGGACTGGTTCATCTGCAAAGGCCTGGAGCCTGCTCACCAGCTGGCAGGCAGTGTGCAGCCCTGCCCCGCAGGTTGGCTCCCCATCAGACCCTGGCTGCCCCTGCAGCACATCCTAGACCACTCTGAACCCTCACCTCACCTTGCAGAAGCAGGGTGGCCCTGGGTCCCCTTCAGGCCAGGCCCTCCTCCATGCCTGCGGGAGTGCAGATGCCAGTTGCAGTCAGAGCAGCTTTCTCGGCGCTGGAGGTCACTGTGGGAGCAGTCCAGTGAGAGTCCTGGGCCTGCCACAGCCACAACAGCAGCCTCTCCTCCACAGGCCCTGCTGCTCCCTGAGCCAGGCCCCTTGCAAGGTGCATGCAACCCAGACCTGCACCCATTCCTCACTCCCTGCCAGCCCTGTGTTTGCTGTGCTCACAGCCTCCTGGCAACCAAGCCCGGGTTTGCAAACTGGAACCTCGGCCAGGCCCCACCGAAGCCACACTGACAGAGGGTGCCCATGGTCAGGAGGGACTCGGGAGCCTGCCGCAGGCAGCCTGGGTTGGCTAAGTGACACCCCAGGCTCTCATCCTTGTTGTCTGTGAACTTGTCACCTTGTACAGCAAAGGGACTTTGCACAGGAGAGTATGTGAAGGATCTTCAGAAGGGAATCGGATCCTGGGTTGGATCCTGGTTGTAACCACAGCATCCTTGTAAGAGGGTGGCAGAGAGATGTCCCAAGGAGGCCTCGGTGCTAACACTCAGCCAGGCTGTGGAGGCCACCCCACGGGGTTTTGATGAGGGAGGAAGAGGCCAGAGCCACAGTCTGTGAGGAACGCAGCCTCCAGCAGCCGGAAGAGGTGGGGAGGGGCTTCTTCCTGGGTGCAGCCCTGCCGCCATCGACCTCAGCTTGCCAGGAGCTAAGCCCCAGCAAGGCTGAGAGGAGGGCACGTGGGGCCTTAGTCAAATGCCAATCTTCACCAAATGGGGATAAACAGAAGCAGCACTTCACTGTTAAGGGAAAGCTGCTATTTAAAATTCCATCCCACAGTAAGTGGATGGTTTCATTTCAGACTTTTTCTTTGCAAAGAAATTTGCATGTGCTTTGATGGAAAGTCGATACTTGAAGATTAACAAACCACACCACTGTTCCTTCTGCAGGAAAGGTGTCGACAAGCCCTCTACCAGGCTGTGGAGGCCACACCATGGGGTTCACATGGCCCAAGGACTGGGCTGCAGTGCGGCTGGCCATAGAGCCTGCCCCTGCCCCTGCCCCCCCCCAGGGTGTCCTCACTGTGCCCACATTCTTCAAGCCCTGTCTGCAGAGTAAGCCTGGCCAAGTTCAAACTAAAGCTCTGCAGGGACGGAACCTGTCCAGTGGCTCCTCAGCAGATGGAGCACCTCCATCTCATGGTCACCTGCAGCTCAGGGTCAGCAAAGGCCAACTGGGGCCAGATCACTCCTAGGAGTCCTTCAGAGAGCCTCCATCCATGCTTTTTCCCAGCTCCAGAGAGGGTGTCACACAGAGGCCATGACAGGGACCCTAAGAACACAGCTTCCACACCACCAACCTCCGAGGACCAGCGCCATACACAGCCACAGTGCACACATTAGGGTGTCCCCAGGACAGGACAAACCACCACTCCTTCCCATAAGGGGGAGAGGGTAGGGGAGTTGTCCCTGGTGCTGCCGCTCCCTGTCTAGCCCTAGCCCAGGCTTCTCTGGCTTCAGCCTGGACAAGCACGTCCAATGTCCAAATGCCTGCTGCGCCTTGGAACCATGCCCACTGTACCCACACCCACGTCCCTTCACAGTCCCACAGGGCTGCAGGCTGGGCAAGTGGGAAAGGGCAAAGGAGCTGGGGCCAGGGACAAATTACTGTCTGCCCACTGAGGGGAGCAGGTCCTGGCCGGGCCTTGACAAGTCTGAACTTGGTGCCAGGGACAAGCAATGCCAATTAGTCCCTTTGAGCAATGGGAGGGCCTGTGTGTCTTACTCCACAATGACGTCAGGGTCACATGCCCTCTTTCTGACTCTCTGCAGACACGTTTCCTCCGACCATGCAAAATTGCACAGCAGGACTCAACCGTGGGGCGTGGGGCTGCTGCCCCACACTGAGAGCCACCATCCTCATGACTTCAGCGGCATGCACAGGGCCCTGGGCCACAGGCTGCCTGCTGGCTTCCCTTGGGCTCCGTCCGTCCGTTTCCCTTTCCCACAGACCCCCTGCAGTAGTGAAGCGCTGGCTGGGCCAGTTCTCCAGGCAGCTCCATGCTGCTCCTCTCTCCTCCCCCTCCTCCAAGAGGGAGCACAGTGCTCCACCCTTTGTGGGAAGGAGCAGTTACTGGGAGATCCGGCAGCCCCGAGAGCCCCTGTCCTCCCCAGCAGCCTGTGACCTTGCACAGGGGAAGTGGTAAAGGCCAGGGCCCAGGGGTGGGTGGGGGGGACAGGAAGCCCAGAACAGCTCGCACTAAGCTCCCACCCCTCCCGAGGCTAGGCTCCTGGTAGGTTCCGACACCACATCTTTGAGGATCAATTTCTGACCACCAATCTCCAGTCCACAGGTGGATGGCAGAAAGTGGGATAAAGGTAATAGGAGAATTTTTCAAGGAAAGATACAGAAGGGTGCTAAGAGGAGTCATGAGACACCAAAGGACTGAGAAGCCTGGGATCAGCCCGTGTCGGAGGCACAACCCCACCTCCTCCGGCCGTCCTGTAGACCCATGGCACCAGGGCACAGGTGTGGGTCAGGACCCCCTGAGCTGTGAGTCTCTAAGAAGGCTGGGGAGAGGGTCGGTCGGGGGCCCTTGGAGTATCTGCAGCCGACAAACACGTTAACGCACAAAATGCCTCCAACCCCAGGCTCCTCCCTTCCCAGGCTGGTCCACTTGGCCTGAGGGTCCTGAGCAAATGTAGGGTTGGCTCTCCCCAGGGCTTAGCCACCAGGCTCAGGCTCCAGAGGAACAGGCCCAGCCGGCCTCCCACCACCTTTCCTGCCCAGCTCCAGAGACGCTCCTGGCCTTGGAAGGGGGCCTGTTTGGGGCCAGCTGGATTGAATTAAGGCCAGCCATGATGTCCAGACAGAAGCTTCCCTTCCCTTTGTTGTTTCTGAAAACAAGAGCCATAAACAGAGCAGATCTAGGATCCGCTCAGGTCTGTGCTTTCCTGCGTGGGTCCTGGCCAGGAGACGAAAACCATGTAAACAGGTGGTTTCTGCAGATGAAAACCCACTCTCCAAAGCCCTCGCTGCCCCCTGGCCTGGGCTCCAGGACCCCAGGGGCCCAAACGCCAGCAGGAGAAACACCAACTTCAGAACCGAGCTGAGGTTGGTGGGGGCTCTTCCCACACAGTGGTCACCTCCGTCCAGCCACAGACCCGCAGGCCCAGCAGGGAGGATCTGAACACTCCCTGGAGACTGCCACCCCCCCCCAGGAGCCATCCACAGTGAGAGGACGACTGTGGGAGGAGCTCCCAGAGGGCCCCGGCCCAGGGTGTGGTGCAGGGGTGGGCTGCCTCTGCTGGGGCCTGGGCCAGGGCCTCCAGCCACCAGCCACATTCCCATCTCTGGCGGTGCGGCTTGCACCAGCGGGCGAGAGGCACTAGGTTTCAAAACACTCCAGCCAGGCACTGTGCTGAGCCAGGGCCAGGCTCTGCTTAAAACACCCAGCAGAACTTCAGAGGCACCAGCAAGACAGCAGCTCCCCAAAGGGCTTTGCAGAGGTGCCCACTGTCCTCGCCCCAGGGAGAAGCCAACTCACCCCTCCTGGGCCACATGCCGGCACAGGGCCACCATTCGTGCTATCCCCTTCCCAGGTGTCAGGCACGGCTGGCTCTCAGCACAGGCCTCTGAGACTGCTCTTGCCCCCTGCGGTCTAAATGCAGTGTCAGCTCTGTGCTCCGAGGGCACCACGAAGAGCATCCTGGTCATTGGCTCTGGGAGACCAGCAGCCGTAGTTTACACATATCAGCCACCAGCAGCCACGTGTGACTCTGCTGCACCCTGTTCACTGTCAGAGGGAGGAGAAGGAGCAACAGCCTTGGGGGTGGCCCAGGACAGGAGAACGCTGGCCAGGAGGAAGGCAGGCCATCACCAGCCGGTCCCAGCCCTCTGACCTGATGCCTGAGGAACGGAGGCAGAGAGGCGAGCCTGGCCTCTTCACCAAGGCCGGCAAAGGCACAGCTTGCTACCTGCAGGCCACAGCAGCCCTGGGTGGGTTTGGGGAAGCACAGTTCTTCCCAGGAGCTACAAAAGCCAGGATGGTCCCGCTGCATTCCACACCCAAGGGTCCTCTGCAGAGCGGGAGGCGAGGGGGAGGGGGCCACAGGGCTGTCGTGGCCATGACCCCAGCATCACAGAGAGGGGAGCCACATGCCTTCTGGCTCCCCATGACCAGCTGCTGCCTCCCTGGCTGCCCCCAGAGCCTGGCTATAGCTCCCACTTCTCCCTGAACTCCACCAGGGAGCCACTCCCACACCGTGCAGGTCTCCCTGAGCCCCAAGCTGACAGAATGAAGCAGGAAACAGGCCCTGGGGGCCCAGGTGGTCAGTTAACCCTCCTCTGTTGCTGGCACTCAAGAAAACAGAAGCAGACCCTGACAAGAGGGGAGCAGGGGGTACCTACAGACCAACAGAGGAACACTCCACATGGACGGCCCCTCGACAGCCAGCAAATCCCCTTGAAGGTAAAAGGGACCAAAACCAACATGAGGGGAGTGGAAATCTGAACATGCATGTCTGGGAAATAAAATTCGTGATTGAACCCTTCCCACACAGGAAACTCCAGGCCCAATGGCTTACCTGTGAATTCCAGCCAACATTTAATAGAGAAATAACAACAGACAGGCAGACTTGTTCAGAAACTGAAGGAGAAGAGAGGGTGGCCCAGCACATTTTGTGAGGCCAACAAAGCCTAATCCACAATCTAGCAAAGGGAAGAAAAGGCAGAGCAGCATCTGTCCTAGTCCACTCTGCTGGGACAGAGGGCTCCGAAGCACAGACTGACCGCTCACAGAGCCAGAGACCGAGACCCAACAGCGACGAGGGCCTTCTTGCTGTCTCCTCATGTGGGGAAGGACAAGGGAGGGGCAGCTGTCCCCGGCAGCCTCATCCCAGGCCCCAGGGAGGAGTCGCAGGACCCAGCACCTGGTCAGGTCCCTGCAGAGTGCCATTGCACAGAAAATGAAGGTCAGTGTGAACTGGACTTCACCACTGTGAGCCAGGTGTGGAGGCCATTCCTGAGACACTGGACTCAGCAGCGTGTGGAACCTGAGGCACAAGGCTAGGTGACACTCAGACTTGATCAAGGCCAGTCACCACACTGACAGAACAAAGGAGAAACCAAAGTCCACTCCCACTGATTCAGAAAAAGCCACAGGCAAAGTTCCACAGCCGTGAATGCACAAGAGCCCACACCCCAAGGCCACCACTACAGCAAGAGCGTCCTGCGTCTGAGTAAAGGCAGCCTCAGGAGGCCCACCAGGGCTTGTGGAGGGCAAGCCTCCGCTCCCTGAGGTCAGGGTCCACCCAGCACTGCTCACAAACCCCAGCCATGGGACAGGGCATCTACTTGTGATGAGAAGACTGCACCCGGGGAATCCAGAGAAGATGCCAGAAATAAACACCGAGGCGCAGGAGGTGGCAGGATACAGAGTCGATACATACAACCCATGTTATTTTAGAAACGAAAATATGTAGGGGTAAATTGAACAAAATATGTACAATGCCTGTGCACCGAAAACTAAGAAACTAAAAAAACAAAAAAGGAATTAAAAGACCGGAATGAAATGGTACAA